AATGTCTGGTAGACTATATCATTTAAATGTTTTTAAATACATGACTGAACCGGTAAAGAAAGAAATGAACATCCTTGAGGTCAGAAGTAAAAAATGTGGAGTCTGAGGCTATCACAGAACCTCAGTGATTTCCACCACTTCTGTCTTAATGGTCTCACACAGCACAGAAGATAAATGCCAGGACTTGAACGAGAACCAGAGTTTGAACAAAAACACCCACATCACATACAGACAAGCAATGGTAAGTTCCAAGGTGAAAATTCACATGTTAAACCACAAGTATTTGAACAAATCATTCATGGGATGAACAAAAGTGCTCCAAGTAAAACTTTTTTTTTAATTTAGGATTTTGCAATTCAATGTAGCACATGTTAAATAAAACAGAAATGACTAGAAATACAATTTACTAAAAACTGACTCCAGTAGCCATAGAAAGCTTAGAGAGATAAATTTCCAGAGGAGAAATAGAACAAACAACGTCACACACACACTTTACTAAGCCTAGACATTCTCACAACTAAATCTTCAAACACCAGTTAGCCCTAACGTTTTATAATTTGTTTCAAAATTTAGACAATGGAGAAAAACCTCAGATTTATATAATTAAGCACATATAGCATTAATACCTGCGCTTGATAAATACTTCAAAAATGAAACAGACAAACAGAAAGAAAACTACTAACCAGTCTCAGAAATATCACTGTAAAAATACTAAATAAAATATTAGTAACATAGACTGCAGCAGTACATTGAGAAATTCACAGAGCTAGACCATATGAGATTTTACTCTAGGAATGCAACAGTGCCAAGGTTATTCAATATTAGGATATCCATTAATATAGTTAGTCATTTTAATTGATATAAGGAGAAACATACAAAAGACAACTCCCACTCCTGATTTTCAAAAAACTCAATAATATAGGAATGTGTAGGTATCTTATATGTGTCTATATAATGTTCCAAAAAAAGTATAGAAGAGATAAAAATAGGTATAGAAATTAGAAGAAAGTAAAACTACTTCTATTTCTACAATAAAAGAATGGTGTACTTGAAAAATATATAATAAACTATAAGACTGACTCAAGGCAAATAATTCCCAAAGTATTCATATGTATAATTACATATACAACAAAGCAGTATGTTTCATACACCTGAAAAAAAACAATTAGAAGATGTAACAGAAATCTATTTTTGCACTAGCAATACTCCAAAAGAAATTAAAACACTTAGCAATAAAATTAGTAAAAATTGCACAAAACATATACAAGAGATGCAAGACTAGCCTCAAACAACTGAAAATAGAATTTTGGGGGGTAAAATGTGTTATATTTTGAGTTTAGGAAATAGTCCACAAGACCACCCTCACTCAGATATCAAATTAAGAGGTCAAGGTGCCTCAAACCACCCTCACTTCTGACATGAGTTGCAAATTTAGGGGTCCCCAAGACCACAGTCAGCTTTGATAATTCCCTAGAAGGCCTCACAGTACTACTGAAAGCTGTTACACTGACCGTTAATTAACCATGTGTTGTAGTGAAAGGACACATGTTAAAATCAGCCAAGGGAAGAGATGTGTGGGGCCGACTCCATATCAATTCCAAAAGCAGAGCTGACTGTCCACTCTCTGTGAAGTTATGAACATCACCTCTTCTGGAAACATTGTGTTCCAATAGGCACGAAGTACTGCCAGCCAAGGAGACTCACCTGAGCTTCAGTCTCCATAGTTTTTACAGAGAATTAATTGGTCATGCAGACCTGGTTGGCTGTCCATGTTGCTGACCTCAGTTACTAGCCCCTCCAGAGACTAAGCCGCTATCTTGTAACCTAAAGATCCATTTTAAATCACATTATTTAGACTATCTGGTGTGGCCAAAAGTCCCTACCTAGAGACACTTTTACCAGGTAGGACAGTCCATGAAATTAGAGAAATTCCTAGAAGCTAGGGGCAAAGGCCAGATCTCTCTTTAGCAAGGTTGAATTATTCAATATGCAATGAATGCTAGTTTCCCCTAAATATCCATTTTTTCTGGAATTATAAAATTTAATTTGAAATTCCATATTAAAAACTCTAAAAACTGTCGGCAAAACCATGAAAAATAAAAATAACGAGGATTGATGATTACGATGATGTCAGGGATTTCTAACAAATATCGAAACATCCTCTGTAGTTGTGTTCTTTTATGCAATAGCCATTCAGCTATTTATTTACACAACTGGCTATTCAAACTAAAATGTAATTTAACAGAAAGTACATAAAATAAAAATTCAGTCTATCAGTCAGTCATACTAGCCGTATTGTAAGTGCCATCTATCTATCCATAGATAAAACAAATATGCCCATTTTTAACAATTTGTCATTCTGAGTAGAGTGTATGGGTGTCTACTGTAAAGTTCTGTAGGACCGAAAATTTTTAAATTGTTACAGATCATTAAAAATGAAACAAGATCAAAAAATCTTATCTCCCCTTCTTACTTATTTATGCTTAATCTTCCCCCTACTGTTTCTCACATACCAGCAAAATCATCTAAGAGTTATCCTGATTCTGGGGTTCTAGTGAATCCATGTATAGGAGGACCCCTCCATGTCTAGGAAGATGTGAACTGCATAAATGCAGTCTGCATTTTACTCTAATTCAGTTTCCATGCAGGATGACCTTATGGATCAGTCTGTCTAAGACGGTTTTTAGAGTAATTTCTGTAATAATTTTGCTAGTTTAGCATATACCAAGTGAACTATTTTTAATTAACTCTGTAATTTGCCATAATAACTTTCAGATAATCAATGAGCTTGCTCTTTTAGTCCTCACAGTAACTTTCTTCACAATTTCCTATAATGGATTTTTTTCAGATACCATTAAATTAGTTTAAAGTCTTTGCAATTTAGACTTATTAACATCATACATATTTTTATCATGTATAAACTTATACTTTCTATAACTGCAAAAGCAGAAATGCAGTCAGTACTAGACGAATTTCTATGGCCTTAATTATCACTATTCTTTTTCTGCAACATTACTTGGAAGTGTTTATCATTTATATTTAAGTCTGTGGCAGTTTGTACTTTGTCAATTTAGTTAAGCTTGAACTATGTTTTTCAGGTTTCTATGCCCTATATGTTCTAGATTAGAGTGGACAAAAATAAGAACATGCTTGATAATTGGAAGCAGAAGTGAAGCAGATGCCATCACTCTTTGCAGGTCATTGGATTAGATGCTGTGACAGACAGAAAAAAAAGTGGGCTCCATCTTGTTTTAGTAATCATAATGCCAGCCACGCTGATCAACAGCAAATTAAAGCCCACCATCAGATATTTGGCTGGAGACGTTTTAAAACAAGAGTTACACAACTTGGACAATCTGCCCTAGCCTTTTTCCTTAATTTCTCTCATGTTCCCATTCCATTTGGTAGCTGGACTTCCCAGAAGCCCCTAAAATTCCTGACTTTTTGCCCATGTCAGTTATTTAGCAGTGCTGATTCGTGACTCTTCTCTGATCTCCCAAATCTCCCTTTCACATCCTTCCCTCTCTAGTCTCTCCCATAATTATGTAAAGTCTTATTCTCATTATTAATCCCTTATCCATATTCTCATACTATATTTTCTTCCTTGTTCAAAACCTCTTGATAGTCATTTTATAAATAATAATTGAACATTTCAGAGTCTTACACAGTGTTGGTTTGTAACATGCTGCATCATATAAAATAAGGCAATTGTTTTACTATTTTTGGTTTTACTAAATTTCTTCAGAATATGGTTATTCCCAATTGTGTGTGGAAATAATTATAAACATTTCCTTTCCATAAATTTAAGAAGTAAGTCAGCAGTAAAATCGTGTAATTTAATGAACTTTCAAGTGCAATATGAATTTGGAAACTTATCTTTATAAGGCAAATAATTAGTTACGGACATTTCTCCTTGATAATCAGAAAAGGAATCCAAGTTCATTTTTCCAAAGCCTTAATGATTCCTTTTACTTTAGACAACTTATAAGAAAATCTTTTGTTGTTAAGTCTAATTCATTTTTTCTCCTTTGTGTACATTCCTTTGTGATTTTCAAGGTCATAGTTAATATACAATGAGCAATACCTTTATTTCACCAGGGGATATAATAAATGGTAGATTTACACTTAAAAGCAAAAGCTCTGTCTTTAATGTGGTGCGATTCAGCCCCCTTCTTTGTACTTCAATTCCCAGTTTTTTGCAGTTTCCTCTCCTATACAAGTATTCATTATCACAGGGAGGAAGTCTTGTCACATGCAGTGACAAACTGCTTCATTTATTTAAAATAAAGCCTTTGTATTTCACTCCATATGCTAATGCAAACACATCTTTAATGATTAGGAAAAGATAAAATCCTTATCTAGTAGGAGCAGAAATTTCTCAGTGTTCACAGGCTTATAAGCAAACCACATACCGAGTTGCCAATCTAGCTGCCTGAACAACAGCCCCCTTTTAATCAGTAAATCATTGTGCCAATAACAACACCAACAACAAAAGATATCAAAAACAAAAATCTTGTACTTTCACAAAGTTTATCCTGGAGGGAAGCCCACCATCCCACTGACACAAAAGTTCAGACTTCAGAAATCAAAGAGAGTCCTATCCTACCTCTAAATTAAGGCCCAAGCCATGCAGCTCATGAATTTGCTAAATCGTGATTGTCAAATATACCTTTGGCACTGAATCTTGTCAAATGGTTGCTACTCAAATAACATCAACACAATCTGTTAATACAAAAAAGCTGTTTCGAGTTTCCGACTTACCGTGGTAAGAGAGAACACCACCTGCAAAGCTTTGGCATTGTGTTGGAGGGGGAATACATAAAGCAAGAAGTTGCAGTAATCACAATTAGTTTTGGGGTCCCTTTGCTTATAAGCTGCTTTCTTCAGCCTGAAATACATTACTTGAGATTTTTTTCCATATGATTATGGGAATAAAGCCTTCATATGCCAAGATATATTATCAAAGAGGTAAAGTCTTGCCTACGTGTCCATCCACTTACCTTTCAATACCTTCTACTATATTCTTTGAGATCTTTGGCTTCTGAAGGTAACCAGACTGTTCTGTGTCTGTTCCAAAGGCCACACCAGATCTGGGTAGGAAAGGATAAAATATCAAAGTTACTTTTTTTTATCAAACAAAAGTATCATTGCTTTAGAGTGTTAGATAGTAGTTAAAGAGAATTCAGTAGTAGATGAATTCCTAATTGTCCTTTGGTATCTACCTGAAGAGCCATCTCCTCTGGGAGACCTTGGATCCTTCCCCTTGAATTAGGAATTCCTCCTATGTTCTCTCATGGGATTTGTTGTTACCTAGCATCCAATTTTATTTTTATAACCACAAGTGTATTTCTTCATATCTCTTACCAATCAGTTAGTCCTTAAAAGTGAAATATGCCTCATGAGGCTCAGTATCCACAGTGTCAAGAAATGTTTCTTGAAGAGATGAATGAAGTAATTTGTGCTGGTATGTGAAACACAAACCCTCCCCTGAGAAACTGATAATGAATATACCTCTACCAATTGGAAAGGAGGAAGTTACATCCAAATGTTTCCAGATGGTTTTAGATTATTGGATTCATCTCAATGGGAGTGGAAAAAGCATGATCACATGTCAAATTTTTAGTCACTCATTATTTGAGAATCAGCAGAAAGACAAGATAGGATTTAAGGACAAGGGACTGATGAATTGAAAGGGGGAAAGGAATCCTGAATTTAAAATATCAAATTAGAAATAAGATTGATGGACTTTTTACAATAAAACCAAGACCTTTAAGGTGTTCCTTTTTCAAAGAGGGAAAAAAAAAAAAGACAACTTAGGTGTTTACAAATTAACCTCAAAAGTTAAATGGTACTGCATACAAGAGTTAGACCTTTATCACTGTTAGTCAAACAACGTTACAATCTCTTAGAGAACTATTAAACTACAAAGCAGCTTCATTAGAAAACCCTCTAGAATATTGGTATATACAGTTCTGCTCTATGAACCATTACCAGCCAGCTACAAGGTGGGGATCTTATGCCAGAAGGTAAATCACTTATATCTCTAAGATTACTATTTTGTTCGGCTGACATTTTCTTTCTAGCAAGACTTTCTCGATAAAGATTTACATTCTGGTACAAGCTCCTTTTCCCATTGGGAACCAAATTCCTTACAGACCAGCAGATCATATGGTAGATGTGAGAGTGTTTTCAACTGTCTTTTGCTTATTCCAAGTCTTAGTATACTTCTGAAAGTTTTCTTGTTTTTATTTGGAGACTGAATGTGAATAAAGAGCTTCATGAGACCTCAGACTACTTGATGGTGACTTATAACTAAAAGCAAACTAAAACTAAACTGTATTTTATTTATTTTCCTTAATAATCATCCAGTTCCTCAAAAGAAATCTAAGAGAACTGTGGTGGACTGACTAGTTGTCTCCTAAAACATATGTCCATATCCCAGTCCCCTAAAGTTAACTGTTAATTTTACCTTGTTTGTAAAAAGAGTCCTTGTAGATATAACTAAGTTAAGGATCTGAGATGAGGTATGATAGGCCCTAAATCCAATGACAAGCAACCTTATAAGAGACACACAGAAGAGAAAACAGACACAGAAGAGAGTGCAATGTGAAGACAGAGGCAGAGATTGGAGACTAGCCTCAAGTCAAGGAAGCTGAAAGAGGGAAGGCACAGATCTAACACTTCCGGATTTCAGACTTCTAGATTTCAGAAATGTGAGAGAATAATTTTTTTATTGTTTTTAAACTACAAAGCATGTGGTATTTTGTTACAGCAACCTCAGAAAACTAATAAGCTAGTTTCACATATTTTGGGGAATTGAAGCTCTGTAAATCAACAGGAGAACTATTACCACTAGCCATGTTCAGACAACTGCCCCCAGTAGTGTAACAGACATATTGTCTTTTGATTAATTATTAAGATCCCTTTAATAAACCTAAGTTTTACTTTTACAACTGGCTAATTTATCTTTTAGTTACATTAATTTGTGGCTGCTACTCAGAAAACATTTCCATTATTACTGATTTCTCATACGGAAATGAAATACAAAAACCATCAGAACTGACCAGACTGAAATCTGATAAATTATCTTAGATCATATAAAGTTGCTATATTTTTTAGTTTGAAAATGGCTACACATTGGCATTTTCATATGGTTCAAAGTTAGTGATCAGTAGGATTTATTCAGGGAAAAAAATAAAACATGGTCTTTAAATACTTGATAGTTTGATTATTATTCCTTTCTTTTAATGGATTTTGTCAAGACTTCAGTGGTTTAGAGTACAATCCTTCGACAGTGACAGTGTCTTCTATGAATAAATCATACACTTCACAACACACTACACAGAGGAGAAATAGAGCAACAGATAAAATAAGCTACAGAACCATTAGAGATGTCTGTTCTTGTTCATAAGTTCTCATCACTGGCTGATTTAATTTTCTCTTGGCCAAAATGGTCCTTATTCTGGTGATGTTCTGAAATAAAACCATAAACATTGATGCATGTTCAAACAAAAGTGAGGTCTGGTCCATTAAAAAGTGTTTACCAGCTGACAACATACACTCAGCTGGTTGTTTTTATATGTGATTCAGAGGCAAGATATAAACATGAATCACAGAAGGAAAACAACTTGAGATAGTTATCTTCTGGAATACCAAAACACTGCATCCACAGGCCATTTACAAAGATTTTTCTGCCTATTACATATAGCTCAAATAGAGCTTTCTTTTATCTCAAATTTTAGCAATTCTACCTACTAAGGAAATCCCCATTTTTTAAATAAAAAACTTATACCATAATAAAGCAGTGTTTGAGAATCTGAAAGATACCAAAATTTTTGCAGCTAAACTGTTTCACACATTGCACTGTTCTGTAATGTAATTACAAACTTTCCCAAACTTACTTAACTATGGAATTCATGTTCCAAAATACAGCTTAATTAGTCTGATACCCCACTTTGGATAGTAACTATAATATCATATTGAAGGAGGTATATCTAGAAAATCAAGTGGATGATTCCGCTTTTAAAAAAAATCATACCAGCATGCAGAAGATAGCAAATAATTGTTAATAGATGAATAGCCTCTTCCCAGATAGGAATATAAAATCAGTGGTCAAACACGGCAAGGCAAGTTGCAAAATGAATGGAAATTATAGTATCATAAACTATTACTTGGATTTTGTGGTGATCTCAATGAGTTTCTATACACTCATTAACTGAAATTGTTTATTATTGGTTTCTAACTTTTTTGAAATTCAACTCCCATTCAGTTTAATTGTATAAGACAATTAATCAGAAATTGTCATGTCTAAAAAATAAATGCTGACATATCTAATAGAAAAATAGAAAGCAATCTGTTATTTCCAGACAAAAAGAAAGCATTTTCCTTGCAAACTCTAAAAGCCAAGAAAAAGAAATCGACATATTATCTTTCCTTGTTACTTACCCATGGTCCTTCATCTGTAATACTTTGACACTTTTTTTTCAATTACCATAAATGGATATCTATGTACATGTTATATTTCCCTTACTAGATTATAAGGTCCTTCAGATTTTAAAAAATTGTGTCTATATATGTTTAAATGCACATACATTTCAATTTTAAAAATAAAATATACTTAAATACAGAGATGGGGATAAATAATACTTGTATCACACTATCTGAAAAAATTGCTGCTAAAATTTTGCTATGTAACTTATCTACCCTTTATATATATTTCTTCTATAAAAATAAAATGCTATACATGCTATTTTTATATCACTCAGGTATCATCTTCCCTAGAAAACAATATTAATGTGTTGTAAGTCTTTACTACTTTGTTCCTTCTATGAACTGCTGTTTAATAATTAAGATCACGCACTGATTTTTAAGAATATATTTAACCCCAAAACATCATCCATTGGTTATATGAGGAAGATGATATGTAGACAAAAATTCTTCTGGCCCTAGGCAGTATTTTATACTTTCCCAATTAAAACAACAAAGCATGCAGAAAATCACTGCTCTGCCTTTAAATTAAAATGCTTTTATAGAAATAGATAAAAAGTGTTTCCTAATCTTAAGGGTAAAGTATCCCCTCAAAAACTTCTTTCGCTTGTTTAAAGATCTAGAATGTCCTCAAACATCATAAAATATTCTATCTGATTAGTAAAACAAATAATGAGAATGAGAAATACCTTCCTATTACCAGGAAAGGAATTGCAGAGAAGCAGTCTGTGGTCCAGTTAGTAGAATTACCCAAAAATAAAACCAGGAACTCACACTCAGCTGCCTGAGCAACAAGAAAACTGTGACTAAAGACTCCTCTTTTCTCAGTGAGAGGGACTACATAGGTCAACTTCAGATGGGACTGGGGCTTCCCTTTCATTGACAGAAGTAGAACAAAATGTCATGATTCTCCAAATCCCAGGTTCTGGGTAGCTGCCTTTCCAGATAATTCAAGTGTCTAATCCCCCAAATCCACATGCCTACTACCAAGCATCCTGTATATTCCCCAAGGATAAGGCTGCTTTTTAGCATATGTCTTATAAAACGGACTGGAAGAAAAGCAATATCCCTTACTGGAGGACATAGCTACATTGCAGGGCCAGTTCATCCCAGGGTTGCTTATTACAGACACAAACAAAGCTTGGTTTCAGTCAGAATACATGGTAACTCTGTCATTTATCCAGTGTTCAGTGCCGAAAGAACACAACTCTAAGCCTAATAATTGTATCTCATGATTGTTTAGGTGCCAAATGCTGCTTCTCCTGTCTTGTCCTCTGTCCTTGGACCAAAGGCAACTTATTCAAATACCTGTGAGTTTGATAGAGCAAACTTCTCCAGAGCAGCAAAAGAGTAATCCATGCTAAAAAGTTTCAGGGTAAAAGATTTAATAGATTTAAAAGAGGAATGGAATGTTGAAGGAATTCAATGTATGCAGTTTAAAGCTTTATCCAATTATTTAATCATTTTCATCTCAATTATTCAGATTAAGAATTTTATGTTTATGTTTCTTAATCTTAAAAGTAAAATCCAGGTGCTAATATGCAAGTTTCTATTGTCTAAGACAAAGGCCAACATGTGCTTTATTCCCACACAGGAAACCATA